ATGTCATAATCACGCCTTCGCGGATGCTTCTCGAGGGGCCATATCCTACACAGTCGAACCGCGTCATCCGACACTACCAGGACCATGACCCTGCCTTCATCGAACGCTTTTTGCGTGTCGAGTTCTGCGATGAGGATCACCTGGCATACCGCTGGGATCGAGAAGTCGATGGCTCGTGGTTCGTACAACGACGAGTGGGCGGGGTGCTCCGCAATGGCTTTGAGCTCGCCGGTCACAAATTCGAGTTCCTTGCATACTCACAAAGCTCACTGCGCGAACATGCCGTATGGTTTGTCTCGCCCTTTGAAGATCCTGTGGAGGGACATGTCAACGCGGAGAGTATCAGGGCGGGACTTGGTGACTTTTCGGACTTGCTGCCCACACCGAGTAAGTACGCGGCCAGGATCGCACAGGCGTTTACCTCGACAGACCCGAGCGTCAAGATTCGGCGCGATCAGTGGGATGAGCAGGCTGAATTGGGGCCACACACTGATGGCGTTGGTACGATCTCGCAGGAGCTAGCTGACAAGATATGGGAGGAAAAGTGTCGGGCTACTGACAACCTAAGGGAGAATCGTGTCAAACCGTCTGCGTACCAATTTCGGTTCCTGGGATACAAGGGGGTCGTTGTTGTGGACAGCCGACTTGATGGTATCAAGATGCGCCTGCGCGGTTCGCAGTGCAAGTTTCCAGTTCACAACGAAGAGGACGCCGAATTTGAGATTGCTGGGTCGTTCGAGTCGCCGATTCTGGCCCATCTCAACCGGTTTGTATTCACCAGTCATCAGTTTGACGCGGCACCTGACCCCTTGGCTCGACTTGCTAGGCCCATAATAATGGTGTTAGAAGACCGTGGTATCAGGAAAGAATCCTTCATCGACCTTCAAGAGGACGCGAAGGCGAAAATTTTCCTCGCGGAGGATTCCTTGACCAAGTTCAGGAATTTGCTCAAGAGTCAAAGTCTTGGCAACATGTTTCGCGTAACGTTTATACTTGAGCAGCTCTACTTGCTTGGGCTCGACTTCAAGAATGACGTAGACAAGAAGAAGAAAGCTATCGAAAGCGCTTTCCTTGGACGCCTACTGCGTTGTTCAATGGGTCACGCCCTCCGGGAGGTAAAATTTAGGGCACGCATACCGGTTCCGAACAGCTACCAGTTGGTCGGAGTTGCAGATGAGGGCCAGGCATATATCAGAGAAGGCGCAGACCCAGGAGATGTGTTCACGCTCCCCGAAGGTCACATCTACGGTGCTGCATATCTCCTCAGTCGTGTTACTTCATTCATATGATGGTTTGTAGCTTGTGTTCAAGAGTCCGCGGATAAAGATCCCATATATCTGAAGGGCACATGCGTCATCTCTAGGAGTCCAGTAATTCACCCTGGTGATGGTACGTATATCCGTCTTTGTCTCTCCCTTGACGCCGAGAAGCCTCACTTCTATTATAGTACAACGTGTCAACGCGGTGGGAGAGCCCCCCGACGGTAAAATCTGCTTTTTCCGTGGTCTAAAGAATGTGGTCGTTTTACCTGCTGTTGGTGTGTAAATTCTTCAATACGCTGGTGCCTTGGACTAATGCGTATTCCTCCCACCTAAGGTAATCGTTCGCTTGCATCATGTCTTGCTGGTGGTGACCTGGACGGGTAGGCATCAATGCATTGGACATCGCAGGTGCTTACGATCTTCCAGCGACACTTACGACATCTACTACCGGAATCCTGGGTTGCTCCCCAGCATCCACTGGGAGCCAGCAGATTACCCTGCTGGCGAGTACTGGACATTAGAAGACGGCCGTACAGCTACGATTGAAGATGTCTGCCAGTTTATCGTAGATTACATCAACTCTGATGTCATGGTACGCGTTTACATTCAAATTTGCCTCCTATTAAACGCAGCGCGTTACGCGGCCTACAGGGCTTACTAGCCGATCGGCACATGGTCATCGCCGATCAATCAAAGGTGAGTTCACATTCGCCTTGCAGAACTTCTACAGCCTCACCCACGGTTAGGATGGTGTGTTCGACAACAGTTGTATGAGACTGGCAAAGTTATACAACCAGGCCGTTGACTATGCCAAGAAGGGAGTGCCAGTCGATATCAGTCACGATTTTCCCCGACCATTGATCAAATTCAAGCCCGATTGGAACAAGGCTGAAGTCACTGGAGCTCGTGAGCTCGACTACTACGAGTCGGATCGCGCGTTGGGGTATCTTTACCGAAACATACACCTGATCGATACAGACAAACCGTCTGATTCCGAGGACGTTCCAGACACCACCTCAAAACCAACCCCACCGCTTAAGGACATGATATCCCAGGCCATTGCGCCACGTATCCAACACACGCTCGATAATGCCTTCGAGACACCCGAGGCAGAGAGTGCAGAGACCGAAGAGCTCTACGGCCGCTTTCTGCGGGAGATGCGATACGTCTGCATGACCCACACCCTTCTCGACTCGCCAGATGTCCACCTGACAGAGGAAGAGGTGGTCCTCGGGGTGATCCTGGCGAAATCCTCACAGCCGCGACTGCGCAAGGACCGCATGTACCGCATGAGGCTGCACGTCGAGACATTGGTGCGTGACATACGTGCGCGAATCGTCGCCCCGCCAGAGGATGGCCAGCGGATGGACGAGGACTTTCGAGATGGCCTACGGAAGGCGTGGGCGACGTGGGGCTGGGCTCAGCATCACCGGGACAAGGAATACATCGAGAGCTTTTCGCTTATTGCACTTGCGGTCGCATTGGACTGCCTTAAGCAGCTCGATGCAATACCCAAGTCCTGAGTCGGAGGAAGATGTCTAAGTAAATTTTGGATTGTACTTAGTTTCTGCAGCTCGAGCTAGCAGAGGAAGATGTAATAGTTTTCGTTAGTAACCCAGACTGCCAATCATGGGTTCTAAGTCGACGTCAGATCGAATTATCGTAAATTACAGAGTTGTTAACGGGATGTGGGTTTGACTCATCACGTGACGAGTACTTGACGTCGACCACGAGTCGACATTATATCTAGACTCATCATGCGTTAACAAATCTGTTGGTGAGGACAATGGCATCAATAGTTGCACACTATCAATGCTATCGACAGTTCAGATAAATGTCACTTCCAAATACGTTGCAAAGAATGGCTTGAGAAAGTCCACAGAGGTCTTCCTTCTGAATTTGGCATCTAATCTCCGTGACTCATTACTGAAGCGGCGTAGCCCTCATATATGCGGGAGTTACGCCTCTGTAACACCTTTCCGATATTTGATTGAATAAGTGTATATATGAATAGCTCACACAGACGTCCGTATTCGTAATCTTATTCAAAGTTATTGTCTTTCTTAGAATACCTACTGAAAGAACCTCATTTCAGAAACCCCTCATGCGCCAGAAACAAGGGGAGAACGCACCAACTCGTTGTCCGATTTTCTCACCGGCGCAGGGTGATGAGTTGGGGATGATGATTCTCCGCGCTTGGACGACGGTTCAGGGCGCAGCCCCAAATACTCTGCGAAGAACACTCGAAAGATGAGGTTCCACGCACTCGACGTCGGAAGATCGAGCGCCGTCGCATCGTCCTATACACAAAGCCAACAACCAACCAAATAATAAGGTCAGCGGGAGAGCACGGGAAAAGAGAGAGGAGGGCATGCATATTTCATGCATACGGGTACTCACGCCAAGGGTGTGCCACACATGCGGGAATGGCTCCGTGATGACATGCAACACGCTCACGCCACGATGCAGAAATGGGAGATGATCATCTCCCATATAACCCAAGCTAACATCCCCCCCCGTACGCGTGGAGAAAAAGCTGCGGCCCAGCGCGTCGGCGTCGAGAATCCCTGCAGCTCGGAGGCGTGTCTCGGCGCTGACGAGCATGTCGAAGAGCCAGGCTGTGTCTGGAAAGTAGGAACGCACGCGCGGGTGTGGAGCGCCGATGAGGTCGAGGAGGATTAGGTGCTCGATTGTTGAGAGAGGTGTGGTGGGTGATGCTGCGGAGATGAGGCGGCGTTTTGGATGTGGAGGGAGGTAGGTCGACGCCCACATGTTGGCGAGGTGTCTGTATGAAAATAAAACGCATGAGTGGAGGAAGTAAGAAGGAAGAGCGAGTACGACGGACCGTGCGCCGTAGATGGAGTCTGTGGCCGTCCAGTCCATGAATGCTTCTTCACCATCGAAAAATATTAGTTGCAGCGTTGTTTCAGCCGTATACTCATCTATATCATCCTCTTCCCCTAGTCCCAATTCGGCTTCTTCGACGCGTCTTGCGCGGGCATCAAGTAAAGGGTCGAGCGTCTCGGCGATATCGAGCATCATGGCGCACGATGCGGCAGAGTCGGTTGCTCCGACGAACTACTACACGAAGGTAATGGTAAGCGAGAGGAGGGAGAGAAGAAGGGAGAGGATTGGCGCGACGAGGGATGCCGACAGTAAGAGAACGGAATTGGACGTGCCTGGTTCTCGGGATAGGAAGGGAAAAACTTGCTATCAAAATGTGCGGACAAAACAACGCGCCTTGGGGCGTCTGGGTCTTTCGTCGCGATCACATTGGTGAAGTTTTTTGGGCCATATGGTGTCATGTCCTCGAATCTATCCTCTTCTATGTGCCAATTGAGCCTGCGGAGCGTCGAGACAATGTAATTTCGGACAAGGGTGTGGTTTTCGGTGTCGGCTGTACGTTACCAATGGGTATGCAAGGAGAGGGAGACCAAAACCGAAAATGATGTGCATACCTGGTCTGGGGATTAAGATTTCTTGGAGGTGGGAGTAAGGGTCAGATGGGTCAAGGTTTCTTGACGGGTCTCGCATATCTGCCAAGTCTGTAAGAGCTGAAGAAGACAGCTCAGGGTAGGCACGTTCGCCGAGGGAGGCAGTACAATGCGGGAGCATTGCATAAATGAGCAGAGCTCCGGCCAGCAGCCACGGAAACATGGCTGGCGGGGCACAACGAGCGTCGCGGTGGGAGTACAAACAAGTGTGCAATTCAGGAGTTAGTCACACACACAAAAATGATGATTCGACCCGGGCTCGAACCGGGGACCTTCTGTGTGTTAGACAGATGCGATAACCAACTACGCCATCGAACCGCTTCAATAACAGGAGAGGATTGTCCAAAACAGGAGGCTCCCATCGTCAGTGCTCGAGCCAGACCTGAAGGCGGCCTTATCGCACACTTTTTGACTACTGCCATGGCCATTTTTGGCCTCTGGGTATGTCCTTCTGTTTTATTCACCGGAACAGAGCTCTCGAGCATGAAAAGGTGATAAACAAAGCAGGCGGGCTCGTCTACCAACGGAACTTTGCTGGTGTGTTGTGCTGCTCTATATACGTCTATCTGGTCTAATTCCCTAGTCAGATGGCCTCGCACAACTCACCTCCAACGAATACCTCGTTCTTGCGGGAACACTGCACGGTATACACGCTATCACGAGCCGGCTCTCCCCGACAGGCTCGAGCTCTGGTGCGCAGGTCATCGAGGCCGAAACGTTCAAGATGACTATCCTGCTTTCCCCCACCGGTTCGTACACTCTTCTCCATCCCAGTGGATCGTTTCTGAATACGACATGTGTTGCGTCCGCACAGGCACAAAGTTTGTGCTGATCACATCCCTTGCGGAACTTTCAGCGAGCACAGTGCTTCAGAAGGTGTATGAAGCATATGCAGACGCAGTGATGAAGAACCCGTTTCACACGCCTGAAATGCCGATACGTTCAGAGGGGTTTGACACGAGGATTGCAGCACTCATTGGAACAGGGCACACATAGGCATCCCAATCGTATGTCCCGTAGATGATGATTGAGATTAGCCTTTTAAAACAGATAAAGGATATCTCTCGACATCATACAGCGATAATGTGTATGTGAGTAATTGAGTGGTGTCATTAGCTACAGCAAAAAGTATGCATGCTCCACCTCAAACCTCAAGGCCTCAAGAGCCATCCAGCAAGTCGCCTGCGAGCGCCTTCGCGCTCGAGATTTTGTTAAACCGTAATGCCTCTACGTTATCCCCCTCCCGACCCAATGCAGCACCAGTCCCCATAATCTTCTCATCCGAAATGTCCGCCAACCGCGAGACCTCAGCATGGACATAAGTCGTCAGGATGAGCATCGTCTCTGGGAACCGCACATACGCGTCCCTGTCCTCCGGCCCGAAATCGTGCACCCCGGAGCCATCATCCCGCCTCTCCTCGCGTGCCAGCTCGGCCTCACTCATCCGCGCCTGGTTTACCGCGCGTCGGAATTCGGGCACGGGTGATGTCGGCGGGGACAAGGATGGCTCTAGGGCTAGCGCGAGACCCTGCGCTCCTCGCGCGCCAAGAAGGTTACGCCATATTGCGCCAGCCAGTATGGCGTCGGAGCTTTGAGCGAGCGCGAGGTCTAGCGAGAGGCCAAGTCCGGCCCATTGCTCGCGGAGTATCTTCATTTGCCTGGTTACGAGGGCCTCGGGGGCGCGTCCCCGCTTTTTAACTGTTGCCGCGTTGGGCGACGTTGAAGGACTGGGGGTTGGACTGTAGAAGGACGCTGCACGCGGAGGTGGTGTGCTGGAGCTGGTGGGACTCTCGGCCAAGGGTTGAGAGCGGGGTCGGAGAACCTGTCGGATGCGGTCCTCGACGTCGAGGAAAAAGTGGTCGATGAGTCCTTGGATGTGTGCTTGTGCGTGCGGAGCAGGGAGTCCACGCAGGCGCGTCGTGAGTATCCACACATGGAGGTTCGTCACCGTGAACCAAGATTGGAACGTAGGAGGGAGATGACACTCTACCGTTCCCGGAAAAGATAAATTTAACCCGTCTGTCTGAGGAGGGGGGACGGCACGCATACCTTTGGTCCAAAACGCGCTGTCCTCCTCCGCGCGACCTGAACATAGTTGATCGTACAATGCCAACGCGCGACGCGCGGCAATCTGCCGCGAACTGCCATACCCAAGCGCACCGAATACCTTAAGGAATGCCCGCATTGCAGTTGGGGATTGCTTCAGCTTGCGTGTGAGCCATGACGGCTCTCGCGTCAGCCCTTTTCGTGCTGGTACGGTTTTGTCGGGCCAGGTGTCGGTTTTGGTGGGGGTGTGGGTGCGGATGCGGACGCATATGATCGGAGCGTGTGCGCATGCAGTTGGGTGAGGATGGGACGGGAAGGCCGTAAAATGATGCGTTGCATTTGAGAGACTACAGTAGCGGATTTCCCCGGGCCGAATTCCATCTCGCCCTCGAGGGGGTGTCACGTGCTCAATATGTCACAATCTATAGTAGACAGTATTTATAGTCCGGACAACAACTTTTCAGCGAATCATATCTGCATCTCTTAGAATCTGGTACAGTACCAGATAAGATATCGCGATGGGGGCCAACGAACAAAAAGACAGCTATTCGCGCATTCAATAATCACCGGAATGAAGCAGGGAGGACAGATAAACCTTAACAATGTAAAATGTACAAGACAAAAGAAATGAAGAGTTCCAAGCGGTATGCAAGCGGATGGAATGTGAAAGGAAGATTGCATTAGATTCCGCAAACAGAAGGAGATCTTTTTTGGGCTGTAACGAGCAACGGATCTCCTAAGCTGCCACCAGTCAACGCCTTGTAAGCCTCCTCTGCGATATTGAAACCAGCTCCGGAAGTGTCGATGGCGATAATATGGATTGACCAGTTGTTCGCTCTGTTAGTTATTCTCCAGCACCCGCCACAGTTAGTGGAGTTCCACACGATGTCGTAGGCGCCGCCAATGAAAGGGAAGGTGGGAAGCTTGTCGAACGTCGGGTATTTGGAGACGAGACCATTCTGCCCGTCTGAGCACGCCACGCTATTGAGTGAGCCTTGTGGGTTGTCAAATGTAGGGTCGTATGTGGCCTTCAGGGGTGGTGGAGTCGGGAACGGGAACTGGTCATCCGGAATCGACGACTCGGGATAGAAAGGATCGTGACGTGATCCCTGTGGCAGGGCACGAGCGATCTGCGCGAGGAAGAGTGCGAGGATAAATGTAGTGAAATAGATCATTGTGAAAGAGCAGGCTTGTAGACGTTCACTGGGTTAAATTCGATGAGGACCCCAAGTACAAGCATGCGCAGTCTTATACGTGAAATTCGAAGCGGCGTTGGTTTAGCCCCAGACTTTGCGCCCAATATCCTGCGAAGCGGAGCTCTAGGACAAAAGGCTTGGCCAAACCATGCCCCCAACTCCCCAGCCTGACTTCACTGAAAGAGGCAAAAATTGATGGGAATATCTTGGGCGCAAATGATGGTGATTCAGACATGCGGCATGCCCACACAGAACTGAATAGAAAACACGAGACGTAGAGGTTAGGCGTTGGCGCCAGACCAGGTGCTTTGATGGGAAAGGGCAAGCAAGCGATCGACACGGCGGTGCCGAAATTTACGTCTACATTTTGTCTCGGCAATGAGCTACAGTACTGTAATCCCCTAGGAGGGGTTCGAGGTGAGCTTGGGCCGCGCCACGCAGTCAGGATGTTGTGGGAAGTGCGATTACGGCTTTCACCACATGGGCAAATTTCGGTAGGGCGAACTTCGAGTTCTACTGTACTTCCACCGCTTGAGTAACGTTACCATACCGAATGGGAGTGCTTTCTTGTGTAGAAAGCAGGGGCTTGAGAGCTTGAGAGGTCCTCGAAGGCCATGGGAATGGCACGGTGTCAGGAAGACGCGGACGTCAGCTGTCGAGTCAGCTGTCAAATTACAGTTTTCAATGAGACCACGAGGGTGCCCGCCTTGGCGCCTCCCCTTCATCTTTTCTATTTTCTTACCTTCCACGCGATCGCACGCTCTGTGACTCTCCTCTGACACATCAAAACCAGCAGTGCAACCAACACCAAAAGCCCCACCCACACTCACGCGTCTCTGCCAAGCCCCATGGGGTAAGGTACGCTTTCATCCAACCAGTATCCCAGGTGTTGAGAAACTCACGTTCAGCGGGAGCACAATAACGATTTGGGCCCTCTTGGTCCACGAACAAGTTGCCACTGGCATCTCAGTAGCATTGAAGAAATGAGGTCGTGTGTAAATTTGATTTGCCAGCATCCCGCGGTGATTGCCGGTAAGAGTTGCTGGATTTGGGTCTTACAGTAGCAGTATACAGGCAGCTCGGACCTCCTGATCGCGTACTTCTTACATATCAAAATCATTAGTTTCAACAAACAAATAAAGACATGACGCGTTTGGAACACCATGGGATCTGGCATTAAAAGGATTTGTAGCTACTAATCAAGACATCTGACCTTCAAGCCCATCCAGGGATACATGCGACTTTCTACCATGGGCACCATCAGCACGAGAGGTTTTCTTATGATATGTGTTTCTGAAGTCTGCGGAGGTAAGCTGAAATCAAAATTCTCGAGGAGGGTCGCGCGATAGCTTGCATCTCCATCATGCTAAAGGCCGAATTCAATGTTATCGCATTCGAGAGGTAGATGGGAATGACATACGCAAATCGCCAGCCCAAGCAGCCTCTGACCCCTCCAGCTATTCAAGTTGCGGCATGTGTTAATATGTAACCACAAAGATACAGTTTGTTCATCGACCTACAAAAATTCAAGCTGTAAAACGGAAAAACGTGAGCGACTCTAGAACTGCGATGAACTACGACGCTTACAGGTTCGCATACAGTCCCACGGAGATCTGTTTCTCTTTATTGACATGACGGAACCGCCCAGGGTTCCACTCCCCCGCATCTTCGCCCCACACTTCAGGAAGCCTGTTCCCCATTCTAGAGTCGGCTGAGGAGCATCCGGTATCTGAACAGCCACTCACCGGCCATACGAACAAAAAGACATGTCGATATGTGTGCCCTTGCGTACCGGGATAACCGTGATCTGTTCACCTGACTTGGTCGTGATGGGGAACGCAAGCGGGATAGCGTCATCACGGGCAGCAGCTCTTGAAAGCTGCCATACAATAGGGTGTAGTCGCAATGACTCCTGCGGGTACCAGCTAAGCATCACAGACACGGTTATGGACCGCCGGAGCAGATTTACTACCGTACCTTGAGCGCAGCAAGCATCGTTGACATACCTTCGAGATCAGTGATCGTGAAGTCTCTGGCGCCAATGCGGGCCCGTACGGCCGCGATCTCTTCGCGAAT